CACTGACGGGGCGTGCTTTGCGGCACCATTCGCGTTTAAGTGCTCCTCGTCCCGCCACCATGCGCCCTGGCACGGATTGTGTGCGACCACCACATAACTGGCATCTGTCCGGTCCGATGTTTGTTGCCTGCTGGTCGTCATTTGCAACTGGCGCAGCAGCTCTCCATTGGGAACGCCATCATCAACACATTTGGCTGAGAACATGGTGCGCCATGTTGTTCTGTCGTGCGAAGAGAGCTCCCAATGCTGTCCCATCTTGTCGAGGGAGCAAATGGGCGACTGCAAATGCGTTGTTCGGTAATGCACGGCTGCACTATGCATGACGATAATCCATCCCTATCCAACGCGCAGTCACCACATGTGCCTGCGAGCGACATCATTCAATAGCAGTTCTGTCCGCCTTCAAAATACACAAATCCACTACGGGATAGGTGCGAGGCTGTGGACCAATTTGGGGATCAGCAACGGGCAACAGGGAAATGGCAATTTCTCGTGTTGATACTTATCAATGGAATGCCCCGTAGAGTTTTGTTTAACCTGATCATCATGTCAGCAACAAGCCATTGGGCGGTGCCGATTTTGTTTGTGGCAAAGAGCGACTGCTTTGCTGCCTGTGTCGTTTCCAGATACCACGCCCTGGGACCCACAGTTGTCACTGATATTTGGAGACCGGCATGCGAGCTGTACTGATGGCATCGACTTCTCTAAAGGCACCGCCGAGGTGGGCATCCAACGCTGGCGCTCCCAACCGCAAATGGGTCGCAAGCATAATGTCCAGTTGCATGATCTGCTTGTCTGTTCCCTTGACGCCCGGCCAACGAGCGTGGGGTTTTGCGAACGTTGGCAGGAGCTTTCAGATACCCTTCCAGACAGAATTTGCCATCCTCATGGGGGTCTGGCCTTCTGATCGGAAGGCGTCTGTACGGCAAAACGCCATGACAGAGAGCATAACATGTTTAGGATATGTTTAGGACAGAATACCACGACAAAGAACCGCCGGTGGGAGAATTGTGCGTTACTGTCATATGGCCGTGTGCGTCAGCTCTCGCCAACTAGAATCCCAGTGGGTTGTTCGTGAGTACCGTGAGCGAGCCTGTTCTCTGCAATGCAAGGTTGGAAGCACCGCGAGGGTGCTCCCTGCGTTCATGACAACTTGTCATCTTGTTGTTCAGTGAGCCATAGATCCATCGGGCAGACGCACGTTCTACATTGCGCGAGCGAGGTGTGGCATGCGATTGTCCTGCCCACATCCTTCAGGTGTAACATTGCGCCTTGGTGCACCATTTCAACCCACGTAAAGCTTTTGAGTCCAATGGAATCGGGTCCTTGGTGCAAAAAGAGAATAGTGACCACTTGTGCCCCAGTGAGAATATTGACTCGTCTACGTGAGGGGCGGGCACCCCCCAGCAAGAACTGGCCAAGTGACAGTCCTGCACACAGTAGTTGCAAGTGGTCCTTACTACTGTACACACAGACCCCCGATTCGGCCCTGTCACCTGGAACGCATCTTCAACAGTCTCAAATCACTTTGCGGGGGGAGTATTCCCACCGCATTTCCTACGTTCTCTAAACAACCATCGAACGCAATTCGTGTGCATGTGGCAACAGGCAGACGCGTCAGGGGCAGCTACACCGCACACACAGGAGCTGGGCGCTGCTGCGCTGCAGGCAGTGCAGCATGCGCAGCACGTTCTGAGAAGCCAGATGATGGCTGGGGAGGTTGACGTTGGCCAGCTGTTGGAACAGCTGCGACTGGCATTGCTACCTTACACCACCACAGCCCCAAAGCGCAGCGCTCCACCATGCATGGTGGGGAAGTGAATGGTGCCGCTTTGGTGCAGCGCCTTGCAACGAGCAAAACAATGACTCCAATGCGGATTTGGAGAGCAGGGCTGGGCAACAGTGAGAAAATCACCCATCGTTTCAGGGACCACAGGCGCTGGGGATCCCAAGCACCCTGAGGTTGAAACCAAATGCACCCCTGCCTGGCTGCATTTGTTTCTGGGACATATGCACATTCAAAGGGACCACAGCTGCAGAGTTCTTTGCAGATGGCAGCTTCGAGGCTCCTGCAACCCACACAGCCTCACGTCCATTGACTTGGCATGTTTTGATTGCAATCTTCAAGTTTACACCACTCTGCATCAGGCGCCAGGGCTCACAGAGCCCACTGCAAGTCCGTCGTCAACGTGTCCCTGCTTGAATCTTGGAGGGATCGATGGCCACCGCCCAAGGTTGCTGCCAATTTACAGCCACAACAAACCACACCCATGCAGGAACGTCTCTCTGCTCATCGAGAAGAGGCATCGCCGCACCACCAGCTGCCTTTGAACTCTGTTTCTCAACCCAGCCTGGCACTCGTGGCCACCAACATGGCCGCCGCCACGGGCTGGCCATCACCCTGAGATCCACAATCTGTCCAGCATTGGCACCGCCTCGAGCCTCCGATCCCACCAACTCAGTGGCGACCCAAGCGTCAAGAAGGAAATGCAGCCAGCATCCATGCAGAAATCCGATGCAGATGTCAGAAATCCGGCCCAAGGTCGCGCCCCAATCACAGGACCACCCCAACCACCACCCATCCCCCCCAATTGCCGATTTCCAATGGCCCTACTTTGCCCCGTTCAGTAGAAGAATCCCAGGATCTTCCCTCCGACCTTCTTCCTCCTCGCGTCGTTGTGGTCCATGATCCCGCTGGACGTTGTCAGCACCACGTGGCCGAACTGCCGGCTGGGCAGCAGCCGCGCCACCCACTCCTCCATATCGTGGTGGCTCACGTCGTAGCGTGGCGAGATCACGCCGCATTTATTCAGCCGGCCGTTCAGCTCCACCACGATCTTGCCCGCCCGCCGGTCGTCCACCACCTCGAACTCGCCGATGTAGCCGTACTTCTGCATCAGCTGCAGGAACTTGACGATCACCTTGGAGGAGGGCCTGATCAGCACCTGGCGCTTGCCGCGCTTCTCGGCGTTGTACATGTTCTTGAGCGCATCGTGCAGGACGCTGATGAGCACCATGGCGCCGGGTGAGGGGCCTCGGCTTGCCGGGGCCGGTGGCGCAGGCGCCGCTGGCGGCTCGGGCGTCCGCGCGTCGTCAGGGGAGGGCGGCGGCGCGTGCCTTCGCTGCGGGAAGCAAGTGCCTTAATGTACGGTTTGGGTGTTTTATGTACTGGTGGGCGTGGTGGCATTTTGTGCGAACCTTGTTCTCTCAGACAACCGTACCTGAGCGATGCAAAGGGGGCAAGACGTCCGTAGTTTGGGTTCAGTGGTACTTAGCGTGAACGGCGAGTGCAAGAAACGCAAAGGCCACTCCAAAGTGCGGGGACAGCGCCAGGAGGGAGCCAAGCAGCGCGCCTTCTGGGCAGGGTCGGTGGAAACGGGAGTGGTGGGATCTGGCTGGGTGGTGCGGTGGGTTGGTGCTCCGGGGGCCCTGGGCGTTCGCCTCCGGCCAACCCCGTGCCCCGTGCCTTGGACTGCAGCGTGATTGCTTGCTCAGGCTATGTTACGGTGTTCTGTGCGTTGCCGGCGACTGAGGTCGGGCCGGGCTCACGGTCGGCTGCCAAATCTACGCGCTCGCGGCGGATTGGATCCAGCTTGCCGTCAACGCCGCTGGCGAAATGCCTTCGAAAGAGATCAGGGTTTGAGCCCGCTTCTCTTGCTGGAGCGGGAACTTGATCTCATGGGGCTCAGGCAGGGGATTTATGTTTTGCTGCCTGTGCCTCCAGCCTAGGGTACATCCCAGGTTTTCAGGCATTGTAGGGCGGCGACCGATCGCCCTGGATCGGGGTGTGCCGCTGCAGCGTTGCTGTCCGTCGTGTACGGATGCCCTCCTGCTACCAGGCGTTCCTTTCCAGTTGTTGCAGCTTGGGATTCTATTTTTGTCAGAGGAAAAGTTCTCGCCGCGTTGCTGGCAACAATCGTGGTTCATTGCCGAATAGCGGCAGCGACAAAAGCCTGGTGTGGCGTTGGCACCGTTTGCACGTCCGCGGCAAATTGCCGCGGACACCTCAGGGGCCTGAAGGAACTGTTCAACGGGGACGACTGAACATGAACGCTGGAAGATCCTTGCTGATAGTTGTCGGCCCATTTATAGTTTGATTGTGGAGTTGGGCATAAGGCTGGCTGCAGAAGGGAGACTTGCTGCAGAAATATGGCAATTGGATTCCGAAGGGCGCTCAGGTGTCACGCGTGTGTTGCCATCGGCGACACCAGCTTTGAACTGTGCGCAAGCCATTGTCTGCCGGGATGATCCTGTCCCAAGCCTTTAACGCCACTCGCATTTTCTTGCTGAGGAAGGGGTGCCCATTGCATGGCCTGCGATACCTTCCTGCTGCATGGGTATCTTTGCCACGTTCAGATCCTGCTAATATTATGCCAAATATTCATTGCAGCAATGGCCAACACTACCATCTAGCCCCACTTGCTCATTGGATCAGAACACAGATGTTGTGTTTGCTTATGCTGTCAGGTTCGTTATTGATGAGGGTGGGGGGACACTTGATCCCCTCTTCCGAGCGATTAATCGAGCCATCGGCAAGAAGTGCCACAGTTGAGTGGCTATGGACAGCAGAGTTCAAGGAGCGATGGATGTTAAATTGAGCCTGGAAGTGCTACGTGTGCTGATGGCCCCAGATGCGAGCCGTGTGGAGAAGCACACGCACAATCGGGAGAAATTGAAATTGGTGGATGTCGTTGCCCAGATGGACTTGAGATGGATCGATGCAAAGAAGGCAGTGATTTTCCCAAAGATGCATCAGCTTGTGTGGGCAAGGGGCACCTGTTAAGCTTGTTCATGGGAAAACAAAAGTGGATTACCAGGATGGGGCACGAAAGTGTGTGGTGCAACTCAGACAACTGGGAGGAGTTCAGGGCAGAGACCCCTGATTGTGCCGCTCGCTGGGTGGCTGCACTGAGGTGGTGAACAGGCTCATGGCTGGATGTACTGCAAGGCAGGGCACATATGGGCAAGAGATGTTGGGAAGTGTGGGGCAGGATGGTTAGATGCTTTGGCTTCTTCGCTTGGGTCACAGAGGAATGATGCAATCAGGCTGGTGGGCACTGGATGCTGCTGCAACTTTTGGGACTGATGTATTGGGCGTGGTGCCAGTCGTGGGTCCAGCACTTGCAGCATTTGGTTTTGCCCTGCAAGTCACAGGCAGGGTAAAGGCAGCTTCTGGGAACCTCCACCCTGCACAATCCAGACTTGCAAGAATCGCAAAGCACACAGTGGAGGTGCTGCACAGCATTGTCCAGCAACAGGCTGAGGATTGTTTTGCAGAGGTATCAGAGTTGTTGGAGGTGATCAAGGAGGGTGCCCGGCAGCTCGAAAGTTTTGAGAACTTGTCAACAGTGCAGATTACTTTGCACGGAGTGTTCAAGGGCATGGCAGGGCCAATAGCAGTGATGGAGTTGGCCAAGCAGCGTGAGCAGCGTCTGGGCTTCTGTGAGGTCCATCGCAAGGATGCCAAGATGGGTGACCTGTCGAAGCAGCCAGCTGAAAGTAAACATTTCATTTGTGCTTGAAAGGACTGCCATGCAATGGAGTTGAAATCTGATGGTGCTGTTGCTCCCATGGGTGGCTGCGGCCATACTACCGATAATATGATCAATAAAGACTGGTTGATGGTGATGCTGCAAGGCCCGAGCGTGCCCTTCTTCTGGGGCTGTGTCTGGGAAGCACAGCTCGTTTTGCTCTTCATCTTCACACAAGACATGAACCTGTTTACTGTGGCCATGTGCACTTGTTGCAATATTGACAGACTGTCACAATGAACTTCTGTGGGCACATTTGTCACTGCAGAATGTTGTCTGCGTGTGTGTTTTCAGTACACCACCCAAGTGCAACAGTGCACTTGTGCATGTGGACATCATTTTTTCATTTGAACCCTTTATTCAACTTTGTTCCAGCAGCATGCCTGTAAGAGGAAGCAGCTGGCCTTTGCACAGTTTAGTTTTGATTGATTGCACAAATCTGGCACTTTTTTTTTGCCACAACTGCTGGGGCACAACTGCACCTGAATGCCTGCAACTACTCCTGAAGCACAGTGGCTTGAAGGGTTACTTGCTTTTGATGGGTGTGGTGCGCAATGTGCAGGACAGCAACACAGCCCTGTCATGGCCAGCAACTTTGGGCAATTTGGATGCTGCACAGCTGCTGTTGGACCATGGTGCAAGCACTGAGGTAGAAAACAAGGTGAAATGGTTGGTGCCTTCTGTTACGATCACAGCATGATATGTGGCTGCAGCTGAATCCGTTTGTCAGCAGGGGCTTTGTGAGCACAGCTCAATTAGACACAGATTTTGGTCTTGGGAAGAATATCAGGAGGGAATGCTATTGTAGGACAGGAATTGGTTGTAAGTCTCAATAAGTGCATGCTCATCTTCTGCAAAGCCATTTTGTGCTGTACTGAAGACTGTCAGACGCTGACCTATCACCAGCTCACATCTACCCATGGTGCATGGTGCACAGTGTGGTGACACACCCTTCCCAAGAGCAGCAAAAGGTTCAGCCACGCTGCCACAGTCGAACTATTCTTGAGCCATGGTGCATCTGTTGATGCAGTTGACAAGGTGAGACCATTTTTGAATGTGGGCATGAACATGTGCATAAATTTGTTTGATCTTGTCTTCAAAGAGCCAATGTGACAGGTTGGTTAATTTGAAGTGGCAAACAATGCAGTGTGCTTGTGGTGAGCTTCATTCTTTTGCCACACCAGGCTGACATCGCTGGCGCAAGGTGCAAGTGTCGCTTTTGCTGTGCAAATGGCAGTGCTCAAGAAGCCACCTATGACAATTTGCAAAGAAAGCAAGGGGTATGCAGCAAAGCTAAGGACAAGTACTCTGAGGTTGGTCACAAGAAGAGGAATAATTCATCCACATCACGTTCCTGTGTCTATGCTCGTTGGCGTTGGTGCTGTAATTTATATTGATGTCCTGTTACTCCATGCTTGTTGTCACATGTTGGCAGTCGCCACTCCTGCTCAATGCTCCCTTCTTGCCACACGTGTGGCACTCATTGCTACAATCGTTTTTGCATGTCAAGATTGATTGTCTCCCCCACATTCCCATCTTATCACCCCCCCAACACACCCATTCCTCATAAGAAATGACAGCTTTCTACAGTCCACGCCACGAGTGCTGCGCATGATGCTCAGGATGGCAGCACACCCCTCTCCAAAGCAGCGGGCTCAGGTCGCACTGCTACTGCAGAACTGTTGGTAAGTCGTGGTGCAGCGATAGACATGGTCAACAAGGTGCGCCTCTCCAACCCCTTCCACCCCCATTTTTCAGTTTTCCTTTTCTATCCCAAGCTTTGTTTAGCATTGAGGTGGCCAGAGGCACTTCCTGCAATTGCCTTTGTGACGTTTCCATTGGGTGGGAATTAAGCTGAGGCTGCTGAGCTTGGCTCAGCAAAGTTGGGGATTCGTTTGTGGTGGCACTGCCAAATATTGTATATTTCACACAGTGGCTAATTGTTCTCAAATGGAACCATATCATGCGTTTGAAGTTTGGACATCATCAAATGGGCACTCAGGTTTGGATTTGGATTGGAGTTCCCACCCGAAGTAGTTTGAATCAACCAATTCACAAGGCTCAGAACATCAATCTTGTCTGACCACATGGGTGGTGAGTGGACAAAATGAATGATTGTAAGACAAAAAAACTGTCTTAGATTTAGACAAACATGTCATCACCTACAAGGTGCAAGAACACCGCTTTGACTCGTCAATGGCGATTTTGAAGGATTACAGCATTGCTGAAATGGGACCAAAATGTGTTATGTTGACTGGGTTCCTGCTGACTGTTTTCACCAGTCTGATGTGTTCACACATTTTAGAAAGTCTTTGCAGACAGCACACAGAAAATGGATTGCATTTTACAGTTGCTGCCTCATTGATGCATGGTGGCTCTGTCATCGGTAGCTCAGAATGCAGGAATGGGAGGATTCAGCTAGGTATCAAGAGACTTACAGGCTTACTGGCTGACACCTTACTGGCCCAATAATCACCCAGCTGGAACGCAAGAGCACTGCATGGCTGCATGTATGCTGAAGGGCCATTCCGAAAATGCAGAACAGGGAATTGACAGACACCTGGCAGAGCTGCCTGGTCCAAACAAGGAAAAATGGCGCTAAAATTGCATGAAGCTCCTGGATTTTTGGTGCCATCGGACAATGGTTTGGATCACAGATATTGATGGTGTGAATCAATTTCCAAGCATCGTGAACTTTTCAAACATGTACTAATCCGATGCGCAAATGAGCACAACCCTGATAGATCAGGATTGACCTTTCATAAGTTTCCTGGCAATTTTCAAACAATCCATGCATACAGTTTGAGGTACTGACAGCAGCAAGCGTCACAACCCAAAGTGCGCTTGTGCCGCTGTGGAGTGGTTTCACCCCATGCTGTGTCCAAGTTAAGTGACATCGACACAATCAAGTGCTCAGGGGATGCGCAGTGATGGCGCATGTGCCACTTGAGATGCTGAGATCATTGTGTGGCTTGCAGTATGGTGCTACACACCTCTCAAGGGCGGCGGCTTCAGGCCATGTGGCGATTGTGGAGCTGTTATTGAATCGTGGAGCTTTTGTGAATGCATCTGACAAGGTGGGGCTCAGGTTTCCATCCTTGGATGAGACAGATTCTGTCTCATTTGCTTGTATTCTGAAAGCTACCAAGGTCTGAGTGGATGATGTGGGTGTCCAGGCATATTGATCGAACCATGTTTGCGATATGACTTTCAGATGTATGCACTGACAATAGCCGAGGGGCTGAAGGCGATGATGCGCTGATAACTTTGACATGTGCTGCTTGCTGTGAGTTTGCATTGCCCAGTCTGGAAAGATAGGAAAATCAATTGACTCGAGGAATCTGCCATCAATAAGTCAATCAATCATGTACAGATGTGTGTGGCCTGTGTAAAATGGGGTGCTGCATTTCAATGGTCTTGAAATCTTGTCCATCAGCCACAGCTCGCTTTCGCAGATGTGGCATCACCATTGGTGAATGCTCATGCAATTGTTACTATATTGTGCAATAAACTTGATCCGAGCAATTTATGTCTGACAGTGCAGCATTGGAAAGACACTTTTGTATCAACATTGGATCAGTGCAGCGGATGCGTCGCAACCAGTTCTAAACACCATGAGTGACGAATATCTGGGCGCATGTCATGACGAATGGCAGATGGCATAACACACACTGTGCGCAATGTGCAGCATGGTAGGACGCTCCTGTCCAAGTCAGTGGCATCTGGCCAGGTGGCCACTGTGCAGCACTTGTTGCGTAGCGATGCTGCTGTAGACAGTGCACACAAGGCGAAAGTGCGCATGCTCTCCCTTTTGTCGTCCAAGAGATGTGTGCTGCTCACCAAGCACTGGGGAGAATTCGCTCAACCCCCCACACCTACCTTGTTGAAGACTTGAATGTCGATCAGTGCCAAGCTCAACTCTCAAAACTAATGACAACAGTGTATTCTGGTATGGAATCAATTTCTTGCCGAATCGGCTGTTAGAATGGGATGCAATCGTGGAATCTCAACAGCGTTTTCCATGTATTGCCAACCAATGATCAACAATGCAAAAGATAGTAAATAAATCATAAGTAAACTGTAAATTGTAACTACAACTCCACGTCCCATGGGAAGTATGCAGGTCCTCCATGTTGTGTTGCCCTGTATGCAGGATGGCACCGCATCCCTCTTCCCTGCATGCCAGAGGGAGCATGATCAGAACACTGCCAGAGTCCTTGCAGAGCTGCTCGTGGAACACAGCGGTTCTGTGGATGCTGCGAACAAAGTAAAGCGTGCGGTGCTGTCTCCAGTGCCGTTGTTTCTTTCCTTTTATTGCGAACAGCTGTTTGCAGGAGACACGATCTGGCGGAATGCAGGACAATGTCCAGGTGGAAAACAAGCAAAGTTTTGGGAGTATGGCTGCCCACCATTCTGTGCTTGATGCAAGGCCCCTGCCTTGTCATTGCGAAACATAGGGCTGTGCACGCAGATGGGGAGCATGAGAGATGGTGAAGTGCTAAGGACGCTTTGCCTTGCGTTGCATAATAAAATGTAATCTGCTGTGCACTGGAAGCAAGGATTTGATCAGAAGTACCATGTGAAGAGCACGGTCGTTGTGTAGTGGGTGGCAAATGCGGTCTTCTTGTGGCTGTTTACAGACGAAATCCACTGGGATTGATGCTGTTGGTTGTGCCGGCAAACTGCTATACTGGCGGCACCTTCGCTCGTGCCTGCAGGCCACGCATGGGCATCCGTATCATATCTGTAGTCGCCAATAGTATAAGGGTCCCTTATTTTAGGCCTGTTGTAGATCGCGAGAATGTTTATGAATCCGATTGGATTGGATCAGAATCGGGCCAGTGCTGCGTTTTCTTACAAAGCATGAACAGATTCTCACCAAGACCACAAACGCAGTTGGGACGTCCGTCCGTTTGGCGTTTGCTCCATTCAGAGAAAGGGCGTGCAATAGTTTTGGCAAGAAGTGATTACAAGCTGCGGGGCTGAACTTTTCGACACCTTGTCTTCATTGCATGCGCATTATTGGGCAACGGGGCGTCACTCACCTCATGGCGGCCGCCAAGCGTGGCCACAAGGCGGTTGCGCGATTGCTGCTCAACCACGGCGCATCATCGGCTCTGGCCGTCAAGGCGAGCCCCATCACGGCCTCAAGCTGAAAGGAGTTTGTGCACTGTGAGCTCTTGGTCAACATGATCAATCCAACAGCACAAAACAGACCTTGCAGGTTGGCTGCGCGGGAGGCGGCCGCGGGAAAGGACATCTTGAGGAATATTCCGTCGGCTTTCAGCACCTGAATTCTGTTTGAGAATGGGATTTGAAGTTGAAATGGCTCCACAAATTCCTGTAGACCTGTTCTCCTTTCCCGCGGCACTTTGATCACTGCTCAGCCACGCCCATTGCGCCACCTCATGGCCGAGCGGTTGATGAAGGGCGCGCACCCGTGCATCCGCCCTGTCCGTCCAGGGCTGACACACCTCTATGAGATAAGCACTGTAAGTGTTCGCTTGGCGGAGAACCGACGAACGGCTGTGTCGTACGCATGGACTGTCGGCCACCGCGACTTGGCCAAGATGCTGGCTGCACTCCAGGGCTGATGCCCTGTGGGGTATCCAGAACGCTTTGGAACGGAATTGACGCCTATGCATCGG